AGTCGGCCCCATGTGGAGTTTATGCTTGGAGGTCAGTCGCAGGTGCTGACTTATGATGCCTTCGCCCAGGCCATGGGGTTGGACACCACGTACATGACGATGATGGAGCGGCAGTACACCGTCGATTTTCACTATCAAGCCGCATTCCAAGCCCTCTGCTTCCCCGAGCATGAGCATGATGAGTACGAGGCTGGCCGCACCAATGCGGTGAAGCTGCGGACCCCATGAGGGATCGTGCATACTCTGCTCGCCCGGTCCGTCGTCCCCAGCTTGCAGTCAGGCCATCTGATCACGAAGAGAGGGCTGCTTGCCCTCCATTCTATGAGGCATGGAGCGGAGCCGCTCCATTTGGGATCGCTGGTTGCCACCACTTTTGCCCGGTGTTTGGGGCGGAACAGGGTGGACACCATGAACCTAGGGGGCATCATCACGAGACTGGCCTGGTACTTTCACGTGGATATGGAGCGGTGCTCCATCTTTGACCAAACTGAGCCCTTCCTTGTGGATACTATCTACAACATGAAGCTGGTGCTTTGGGGAGAGCAAGAGATAGAGTACCTCGACGAGATCTGACCGTCAGCAGTTATGAGGCTGGCAGTTGACCCGACTCCAATGGATCCTGATGTAGAGGTCCCACCTCCAGAGCAGCCACCTGCTCGAGCTTTCGGCCGCCACCGGTGTCCCGCGCTCCAACGCCCTGCACCACCAGCACCATCAGGTGCCAGTCCTTCCACCTCCGGGGTGCACCTCGAGGAGAGGATGGACCGTCTTGAAACCCACGTTGTGGGAGTCACCTCCCGGCTCGACCGGCGCATCGACCTGCTTGAGCGGATTGCTTGTCGCCAGGGCCTCCTTCCAGATGATATGCCGGGGCCTTCGACCTAGTGAGAGGTAACCAACGAGTGAGACATGTGGCAGAGCCAATTCCTTTCGCCCCACTTCTCCACTTTGAACTTTGAACTCTTTTATGTTATTTTCTTTCTTTTATTTGGTATTTGTGAACAACTACTACAATCGTATTGTTATGTGTAATAACCTCGTCTCGAGCAAGTATTTGTTGTGTTTGTGTGTGTGTTTTTTGTCTTCTCATTGAAGCTCAAATCTCCTACCTCAGAAAATTCCAACTTTCACTCACCAAGCAATATAGTAACATTGTTCTACCCCTATCTTATGCCATTTACGGCAATGTCGAACTTAAGTGTGAGGGGGTAGTTTATTATTATGCTTGTGTGAGTGTGATGGTTGCTTGGAGTCTTGATGAATGCCCAAATTTGAAAAATTTGAGGCCTCCAAGCAATGTTTGCATGATCAAAGTAGCCGGTCTGTAGGAGAATCCCGTGTTTATTGGCATTGACCTTGAATTGTTGCATGTGATCGAGTGTATCCTATGATGACGACTAGGAGGTGCATTAGGATAGTGCAAAGGTTTAGTTCTCATGTGTGAAAAAATCAATCGAGGTCTTGACTCGATTACTTTTTGATTAGAATTGCCATGCATTGTGTTTTGTGAATCGAAATGGATGATTGGGTGACTAGGTAGCCATGTGAGTTTTGAGCAGATCGTTTTCTTCTTGTGTGCTAGATCCCTCTTACCATGGCAAGTAACATCATGGTTGTCACTAGTGAGTATGATGGAGGCATAGGATTAGTCCACACCCAAATGTTGATTGTCCCGAAATGCTTTATCCCCTAGTCAACCCCTTTGAGCCTTGTGACTTTGGGGATCGTTCTCTTGTAGGAGCTTTTTGCTTGTGAGCTTAATGGTGTTTGATGGAACGACCCCCCATCATTTCTTCGTGTCTATACGTGAGTCATCCTTGTGTCCCAGAGCTCTCACTTTTGAGTTCCATTGAGGTTCTACATAGGAGAATTGTGTGATGTTCTTGCTAGGAATGAAAGAGAAAAGAGTAGTATGGGAGTAAGTTCTTAAAAGAGAGCATTGATTGTTAAATGTAATGTGGCAAGTGTTTTACTCTCTAGTACCCCCCTCAAAAAAGAAAAAGAAAGAGAAAAAGAAAGAAAAGGATAGTAGAATGAAAAAAAAAAGAAAAAAAAGAGGTAATAAAATGCAGTACATAAAGTAGGGAGTGCCACATAAATCAAAGAGTATGCTCTAGGAGGGGTTCTTGGCATTCAAGCCATTGAAACCCCCACATTGTTGTTGAACTCCTTCACTACCAAGTCGAAATGTGATAGCAAGAGTAGACTGAGGAAGAGCGCTTAAAGGTAGTTCATGATGGGTGATAGTTTGGAAGGGAGAAGCAAGGTTTTTGGCTGATGCTAGTGGCTATTGTTTGTAGGGAAGTTTCTTAGTCAAAACCATAGAACCTTCGGGTTTAGGGTGAAGATAATGTGTTTTTGCCACCACCAAAAAAGCATTTTCCCCATGTCCAAGACAATTGCCAGTCATTTGAACCCGTGTCTAAGACCTCTAGACAAGCTACTGATGAAAACCGTCCCGTGAGCTCTAACATTTAGAGGTTTCTGCTGCGATGAAGAGACGATAGGGCCGAGTGTTGACGTTTGTGCACATTCTCTGCACCAAAAGGTCCCGAACCCACTGGTCAAGGGAGTGAGTGATTCATTCTTGCTTTGCATGTCATATCATACCCCGGTGAGGACCTTTGTTGCCCATTTGTTTGTTCCTTGGACTTGAATGTTATGCATGGTTGGTTGTGGTTGATAAGTGAACTTGTTGAGACTTGCATTGATTCATGAACAAAGTGAGAACTTTTCGTTTACCCGGTTTTGGTGACCTAGAATGTCATTTTGTGGTGGATGCTGGTATTGCTTGCAACGGACCATGTGTTAATCGCCATTAGCCATTGAGATACGGCACTTTGTGCCCTTTCATTTTACCCAAGTTATTTTGTTAGGTTGAAATATTACCTTGTGTGAAATGGTTTTCTTGGGGACACGCAAACGTCTAAGTGTGGGGGACTGATTCGGGCCTAATTGTACACTTTTTATCCTCGTTTTTCTTTGACGTTTGTGTCAATTGAGCTCCAAAAGGGGTGGTTTTACGCTAGGTTTCTTGTGTTTCAGTGTGTTTCAGAGTCTAATAGGTGAAACCAACCTCAGAGTCGAAAGTTGGAAGGAAAGGACCAAAGACCGGGCAAAGAGGAGGATTCAGCCTGATTTCATGGTCCAACATTGGAGTTCACGATCGCCAGGACCATGAATTGGAACCACAACTCGTGAACCGCGAAGCGTTTAGAAGGGTTTTTTAGGTTAGTGACGCCAAGGCTATTCACGGTCGCTAAGACCGTGAACAGGAACCACAAACCGTTAACCCTAGAAGTGAAGCGGTGCGTTTTGGGTCGGTTCATTGTGTTCACGAACGCATCTTGATGTTCACGGCCGTGAACTTGGGCCGTGAACTTGCCATGATCCCAATATAAAGAGTGAGCTGAAAGGAAGGAGGGGGAGCCCAAAGTGAAAGAAACCTTCTTCTTGAAACTCCAGAGAGAGAAAGTCACGAACCAAGAGGGAGAAGAGGCTAGGGTTTGCTCCAAGTGAAGATTTTGGAAGCTCATCTTCTTTGGAGTATCTCTACAAGCACAAGGAGAGTTGGAGGCATCAATGATGGTTTCTTTCTTCCTTTTTTGTGTTCTTCCTTTTCACTTGGGTGTTGTAGAACCCTAACTACTATCATGTAATTGATTGTGTGGATTGAATGATTGTGTGATGGTGGTGTTTAATTCAAGAATTGAGGTATTTTTTAAGGTGATTGTGCATATTGTTTGCTTGGCAATCTATTGTGCTATTCTAAACTAGATTAGCGAGAAGCCCCCTTATCTAATTAAGAGGCTCAAAATTGAGCTGGGTTTTCTTAGGCATTCCATGCCCCCTAACTAGGTTAATGAAGGGTGAACCTCTATTTGAATTAGATAGCTAGGTTAATTAGGATTTTGCCGTCCATGCCTTGGTTTGAGGGAGAAGGTAAGTCAATCCTCAATTGATTGTGCCAAGTGGACTACAATTGTAGTCTCTAATGCTTACCTTGGCATAGCAATTGTAGTCTCTAATGATTTCAACAAACAACAATCTGCTAGATAATGTTTCAAACAATCAAAGTAGCGGTACATGGGCCGGCCGGGGTTAATATTTAAACATACTTGCCCTATATTGCATCCATCTAAGGTTTATACTTGGGCCCTAGGTGGGATTTTATTGTGATAGTCGGACCGAGTCAGAGATGGTGTCGATGTTGCTGTGTAGGGCATCGACGGGGTTAAGAGATTAGGTGCGAATGTCGAGGAAATGGGCGACGAAGCCGGAATTGCCGACGTCGGAGGAGTAAAGAGTGTCGGCGAAAGAGACCGCCTGCATCGAGGCGGCGAAAGAAGTAGTACGGTGGAGGAGGGGTTCTTTTCCTTTTTATTTTATTTAATTTCCGTTATTGAGTTGAAATATAAATAAAATTTTATATTTAATTATTTAACTCCGTAATTCATTTGCCACGTTAGAGTCAACTAACGGTTGACCGGATGGAAAGTTAATTGTGTGGCTAATAAATTATTTTTCAAAAGGTTTGGCTATTATATAGTTTTAAACAAAAGGTTTGGCTAATAAATTGTGTTTACCCGAAAAGAAATGAACCCTTCCAAAGCAACAACTAGTAAAGTGACCCTAAACTCTAAAGAGAAAGTAAGCTAACTGTTGTCTTAAGACAGTGACAATACTTTAAGCACAATTTTATAGGCAGTTTAGTTTTGCAGCTTGTTAGACTATCCTAAAAACTATTCAAATAAAAAGGGCAGATCCAATGTTATAGTGGGTTCCAGGACTCCTTGTGAAGTTGACGAACTGCCACAAGAAAATCACCTTCTAAGACAAAAAGAGGCAGTTTTCGAGAAACATCAACTGACGAGGAGTCTCTAGCAGCAAGCAGTTATGGCAAAGCATGGGAGTTGCACCATGTTGCATTTAACTATCCCTCTCTACCGATAGAAATCAAATACAAGTTGATTAGGGGGTTGAATTCGAGAATCTTCCAAATGGAAACGCTCTGTACGATCCCTGCTGGAGTGATGGCCTCGACGTCGAACTCTGCTCCGCCGGGACGGTCGCCAGACATCTCTCAGCCTGTGGCTGAGATGCAGATCGACGCTGATCAAGCGGGTGAGGTTCATCGGGTAACGTCGGAGATACATACCTCCAGCTCTGTGGCTCCTGCAGACTTTGGGAGGAACGAGAATGAGGTGATCAGTGAGGGGGGCCTGGAGATCTAATCAAGGATTACCGCCTGACCTTGCCAAAGGCTTCATATGCCACTGCGGTGGCTGGCCTCGGGTCTCAGACGGGGGCAACGGCTTCACAATGGGTTCCAGTTGGGGAGCATGACATCATTACGGGATCTTTCAATGGGGAACCTAAACTAAGGATTTCAGAAGGGTTCAAAGCAAAACCCAGTGCTCCTTGGCAGAGATCCCTGGTGGTCAGGCTGCTCGGGAAGTCCATCGGCTACACAACCCTCTGTAACAGGCTGCGATCTCTATGGCGGCCTTCTGTCACATGGAGATCTTTGCTATGGACAGAGATTTTTTCCTGGTAAAGTTGGGGAACGACCAAGACTACTTCAAAGACCTCTCTGACGGGCCTTGGGTGATCTTCGATCACTATCTGGTTGTTCAACAATGGACACCGGCCTTCAGGGTCACGGACAAACTTCCAAGTACGATGGTGGTGTGGGTTCAATTTCCGGGTTTTCCCGTTCACTTTTACCACAAGGACCTTCTATTCTCGCTGGGTAATCTAATTGGGAGGGCGATTAAGCTTGATTTCCACACGTTGCATCAGCAACGTACGAGATTTGCGAAGGTTGCTGTCGAGGTTGATCTGTCACAGCCACTGGTTCCAAGAATCCGCCTTGATGGGAAATGGCAGAGGGTTGAATTCGAGAATCTTCCGATTGTCTGTTTCGAATGTGGGAAGATTGGACATACAAAGATTAGCTGCCCTGTGCTCTGCCCGGAACAAGCTAGCCATAGAGCGGCGGAATTCTCACCGACGCCGACGACAGCCTCCGTCGAACCTCCGTCGGAGGAAGTCTCCGGCTTTGGCCCCTGGATGCTGGTCACGAGGAAATCACACCGCAATCAACGAGAAATACCAAATCAGGGGCGTCCGGATCAGGCGGAAGAGATCAGTGAAGGGACAATTAACAAACACGAAAGGAAAGAGGTTTCTGTGAGGAAGGAGAATGGGAAGCCGCCAAATCAGACTGGGAACAAATCATCTCAACGGAAATAGAGTCCGCAGGCGACGCAAGGGGGAAGTTCGAGCAAGAAGGGGAAAGGGGAAAACAAAAAAGGAAAAGAAGTTGTTTCGATAGCGTTGGAGGGTGAAAAAACCTCGGGTATTCTGGGCCCTGTCCCAAGGTCGGAAGGCCCAAAATCCATGAAGGTGTCAGCCAGCACCAAAACTAATGAAGCGTCTTCTTCTGGGCCTAAGGAGGATGGGTCGAGCGCGATCAATTCAGTTGGGCTGGTAACCCATTCAGTCAGAGGTGAAAAGGGGACCAATGTTTTGATTGTTGAGGCCCAGCCTTATGACCCCTCACCGATCAGGAAAATCGACCCAGCTGCCCCCTCTGCTGTCTTGCGAACGAAACAGAGGAAGGAAAAGAAGAAAGGAGGGAATCAACGCCGAGGAAGAGCACCCTAGTCCGACACAGCCCGATGAATCCTCTTAAGGTTTGGTCTCCCGTCAAGGATCAGAAGAACAAAGGCCAGGATAGACGGATCTCTTTAACTCTACAACAGATTAAAGAATGGACGGAGATGAGCTCTGAAAACAGAGACGGCGAGGCCCCTCGGGAATCTGCTACCCCAGCGGCTGGCTTTGGGCCGAAACCGACCGACGGAAATGGCGCTCCGGCCTAGCTGCGATTCCTTGCGCATCTGGCAAACTCTCCCTCTCCCTCTCCCCTTTCTCTGTTTTATTTTAATGTCTGTTATGTCTTTGTCTGCTTCTGCTAATTTTAAAATTTTTTCGTGGAATGTTGGTGGAGCGGGGGGTCAGGCTTTTTCTCGTGCTCTCAAGTTCACCCTTCAGCTCCACAAGCCTGATATAGTGATTTTGCTTGAGCCGCAGGTCAGTGTTGGTGTGGCGAATGCTGTCTGTGATAAGCTGGGCTTTCAGGATGCGGTTAGATTCGAGGCAAATGGCAGGAGCGGTGGAATCTGGGTGTTCTGGAATTTGCAGGCTCTTTCTATGCAAGTGGAATCTGCTGGTCACCAGCACATCACTTTGGTCTGCAGCAAGTCTGGCATGCCGAATTGGAAGCTCACTGCTATTTATGCTTCTCCGCGGCATAAGCTCCAGCACTCTCTTTGGGGTCATTTGATTGACCAGAGCAGGAAAACCTTTTGTCCTTGGATCCTTACTGGGGACTTCAATGCTATCCGTGACCCGAGCGAGAAGACTGGTCCTGCTTCCTCTGCTACCTATAGTAGATGCAAGCGCTTTGGGGACTGGATTAACGAGGCGGAGCTCCTTGACCTGGGCTTTTCTGGCCCCAAGTTTACCTGGTCCAGGGGGAACACCACTGCCTCTTACAAGGCCAGTCGCCAGGATAGAAGTCTCTGTAATTTGGAGTGGAATGAAGTTTTCCCAACGACTTCAGTGACTCATCTTGCTCGCCTCAGCTCGGACCACCACCCCATCCTCACCACTTGGGCAAATCAGGGAGTCTCGGAACCTACGTCTAAGCTTTTCAGATTTGAGGCAGCCTGGTTAACCCATGCTGATTTTTTCTCATTTATTGAAAATTCTTGGAACTCTCAGGTTGCTTTCACTGATGCTCTGCAGGTCTTATCGGACAAGCTAAAGGTTTGGAACTCGGCTGTCTTTGGGAACATTTTTCAGAGAAAGAAGAGGTTGCTGGCTCGGATTGCTGGTATTGAGCGGCGGCAAGCAGAGTCTTTCTCCCCAAGCTTAGCAAAACTCCACTCAAAGCTTGAAGTAGAACTGGACAAGACCTTGGAACAGGAAGAGCTTGTCTGGTTTCAAAGGTCTCGGGAGAATTGGGTGAAGTTAGGTGAACGGAACACAACCTATTTTCATCAGCTGACTAATATCCGCAGACGCAGGAATAAAATTGCAGCTCTTAAGGATGGGAGTGGAAACTGGGTTACTGACAAGGAGGAGTTGGCGGGTCTTATCTTTAGCTTTTACTCTGAGCTTATTTGCAGGATGACTCCCCCTATGCTGATCTGCTTCCGAAGGGTGCTTTCCCCAGGCTCAGGCAGGAAGAATGGTTCCAGCTCCTTCGACCTTTCACTATTATGGATATCCACAAGGCGGTTTTTGACATGAAACCCTTCCAAGCCCCTGGACCGGATGGCTTCCAAGCCATTTTTTACCAACAAGCTTGGAAAGTAGTCGGGAAGGACTTGTCAGAGATGGCAATGTCGTTTTTTGAACATGGTTCCCTTCCCCCTGCAGTTTCGGAGTACACTGTGGTGCTTATTCCTAAGGTGGAAGAACCGGAGTCAGTCACACAACTTCGCCCCATCTCTTTGAACAATGTCAGCCTGAAGGCCATAACAAAAGCGATGACGAGCCATTTGAAGTCTGTTATGAGAACTCTTGTGTCACCTAGGTAATCCAGCTTTATCCCAGGTCGACAGACGATGGATAATATAGTGGTGGTTCAGGAGGTTATCCACTCGTTGAGAAAGAGGAAGGGGCGTAAGGGTGGTATGGTGGTGAAAATCGATCTGGAGAAGGCCTATGATCGGCTTAGGTGGGACTTTCTGAGGGACACCTTGATTGAAGTTGGCCTCCCGAGCTCTTGGATCAGATGCATCATGTATTGTGTTGAGCATAACAGAATGCGTATTCTCTGGAACGGGGAAATGCTAGAGTCCATAACCCCCACCCGTGGGGTTCGCCAGGGAGACCCTCTTTCCCCTTACCTTTTTGTGTTATGTATGGAGCGTCTTTCTCACAGAATTGATAAGGCCGTTCGAGATAAGCTATGGAATCCCATTCGCTTATCAAAGAATGGCCGGACTCTAACTCATCTTTTCTTTGCCGATGATTTGGTTTTGTTTGCAGAAGCGAAAATCTCTCAAGTGAAGGTTGTAAAGCAGTGTCTTGATGAGTTCTGTGATAGCTCCGGTCAGCGAGTGAACTTTGCGAAGTCTATCATCTACATCTCCCCTAATATCCACTATGCTAGAGCCCAGCGCCTAAGTACCAGGGCTGGTATCCCCCTCGCTACCAGTCTAGGGAAGTACTTGGGTATTCAAACCATTCATGGTCGAGTTACCAGAAGTAGGTACCAGGGGCTCCTGTTGCAGATCGAGAAGAAACTGGCGCCTTGGAAAGCCAGGAAGCTGTCGCTCACTGCGCGCTTGACCGTTACCAGATCAGTTTCCTTGTCCATCCCTGTTTATCCTATGCAGACTGAACTTTTGCCTGTGAATGTTTGCAATGCTATTGATAAAATTAACAGGGACTTTATATGGGGGAAAGAGGAGGAGAAATGGAAGATCCATCTAGTGGAATGGGATAGAATGGCGAAACCCAGAGCTCATGGAGGAGGGGGTCTGAGATCTGTCCGGCATGCAAATCTGGCTATGCTTGCCAAAGGAGGGTGGAGGATTCTTAAAGAGAAGGACTGCATTTGGACTCAAGTCATGAGATCAAAGTATGGGAAACATCGAGAATGTCTTGAAGTGCTTCGACCTGTTAAGGGAAGTTCCTTTACTTGGAATAGCTTGACTAAAGCCTCAAGCCTTCTTTGGAAGGGTTGTGCGTGGAATATTCATAATGGAAAAGGCGCTAAGTTCTGGCGGGTTGTCTGGCTTTTGCAGGTACCTCTGGTCGAGGTGGCTCTTCAACCGGTGACGGAGGAGATGCTGGATGAGCAGGTGGCGGATTATATTGATGAGGATGGTAGATGGGACATCAATCAGTTGGAGAATTGGCTGCCTGCCGAGGTGCTACAAAAGATCACGGCGAACCTGGTGGATCCCCTGTCCCCGGAAGAGGACACTATCCTTTGGACCGCTTCCTCGAATGGCCATTTCTCAACCTCCTCGGCCTACAGTCTGGCCTTGCCTCCGAAGAGAAGATGTGGAAAACCATTTGGAAGCTCCCGGTTGCTGAGAGAGTCAGGGTGTTTGTGTGGCTGGTGTCTTTAGGGCGCATTGCGACTAATGTTCTCCGCTACTCCCGTAAGTGTGCGGAGTCCCTCATGTGCCATAGATGCGGGAACTAT